GACTTGTTGAGTTTATTAAATCTGTGTTTTCCTACATAATTCCTCAAGAAATTAAGGTAGACCTCCGAACAAAAATAATTGATTATTTCATACATATCATGTGGAGCTAATCATACATTATTCTTTTATTCTACGAGTACAACGATATCAGGAATTGCGATTTAGCATTGCAGTGCATGTTCAGTAAAAAAATATTTCGCAAGTGATTCAAAAGAATTTGATGTTTGCGTCTCATTGTTCGTCAGTTATCCAACTCTTTTGAGGAAATTATTCTGCTCTTCACAAAAAGCAGTCAATGTGATAGTGTACAAGTGTTAACAACCTCTTTCAGTAAAATCAAACTAAATTTGTCTTGTTGCCTCTGGGTTTCAACGGACAGTAACGATTAGAAAAATACATTAGCATTTAGAATACAAGTATCCAAAGCGACTTGTACTTGCTTTAATGTCTGTATCTAAGAAATTAGAATAAGCAACCTTACCTGCATTCTGGCCACCACCCCTCTGCTTCTATGTCGAAGGAATCGATCTTCGTGTGTTCTTGGAGCCCCATCCTTTAATAGCAATCTAATCATGAAAAAGTAAAGCACAGAAGATAGACCAAGAGGCACAACATAGAACACCAGGAAATCAAAAACATAGTAGATCCCATAGTAGTATCGTTTTAATGTGTAGGTACAACTGTAGACCAAGGTGTTGTTCCGATAAGTAGGAACAACTTTGGCCAAGGCAAGCCACGGAGAACAATACAACACGGCAATGGTCCATAGCGCTAGAATTATCCTTCGCGCACGGCTGACCGTGCAGATTGTCTGAGCTTTCAAGGAATGACATATCCCAATGTATCTCTCCACCGTAAAGGCACCAATGGAGAGTGAGGAAACATTTGCCCCCAGATATCCAAGAAACACACACAATGTACACATGAAGGATCCATAAGGCCAATCTTCTGCCGGAAGTAGGGGCTCGGGAATGGTTGGAAGATTTGAGGAGAGCAGGAGGATACAGTCAGCGAAACACAGACTTAGGAGGTAACAATTAGTGGGGGTTTGGAGACTCCTCCTTCTAACAATCACAACGATGACCAAGATATTACCCGCGAGCCCGATGATGAATATAAGCAGGGGCAGGCCTACGGCTACTATTGTATACTCCAGTGATGGTATAGGTTTAGTATCCAGTGTGTCATTTTCATATGTAACACCCATCCGACAGAAATACTTCTAAAATTATAGAAGACTATATTTGAGAAATCACAGACCGAAAGGGATTCCAATGATGTCACAGTACTAGAATTATAGATCACCTAAAGTCGTGGATTTACATACATATTTCCCAGGAGAGCCTTGGTATTTCCCGGAGCCGTATAAACAGTTGCTGTTCCCCTGTAACCTCAGACGATATCTAATTATAAGATAATCTGAACTCTATCACAGAACATCTTAATTTTCCGTCTCCTTCGCTGAAGTCCCACGCTAAGCTCTGAAATGAGATATAACCAATAAACATGAGTAACGAGCAACGCTGAGTTCTCCTAATAATACGTCACATTTCCAGATTTTTTAATTGTGATTATCTTCAGGATTTTGAGGTATGCAAAGCAGTTTCGCTAAAAAAATCATCTAAAAGCGCCTGAAAAATGTTAATATGTATGACAAATGACGTGAGTTAGACAGGGATTCCGACAGCCTTTCTCGTCCTTCAAAATTATGAAAGTGCAAAGAATGTTACTTTTATTGAGCGCTGATTGCTTAGAACCGCAGTGATGCATTATGTTGTCAATATTATGTCGTATTTTAAAAACAAGCAAGCAATCAGATACAAAAATGTTCATTATGGTGAAGTAATATTGTCTTTAAAGAATATTAAAAAAAGTGAGATCTGTAAAGATTCATTTTAATGTATGTCACTTGTCCACTTTTTGAGAAAAGTTCATTCAGAACCTGTAATTTCAAAATTATTTATTACAATTCAATTTTTAATTGTATTTGAATTTATAAAACCAAATTATACAGTATTCAATTAAAAAAGTTCTCACAAAATCGTAAAGAAACAAGATACTAGTATATGGGAACCATTTTTGTAAAAGAAGGATATTTTTAAAATACATGTATTAACCTACACAATTAAAGTTAATGAAAGACAAGTGTTTTAAAACTATAAGAGGCATTTTTATGATGTAAACAAATTAGAGAATCTTTACATCAAAGTTACTGTTCATTCATTCATTTATTCATTCTTTATTTCCTCCATTTGGAGATTTGAATTACAAAACATCAAATACAACATACTAGTATATACTACATCAATGAGAATTTCTAAAAAAAAAAAAAAAAAATGTATATACAATTTGCTGTATGAAAACATAAAAATTATTGTATTCGTCTGATAATTCAAACATAAATTCAGATCTTTCATTAGATTTTATAGAACACACTTAGAAAAATGCCCTCAAAAATTTGTTACGGACAGACACACAGACGGAGGGAGACACGAGGGTAAAACAGTATAGTACCCCCTCTCCTTCGCAGCGGGGTATAAATATTCAAAAGTTATGGCTATGTTAAGAACCCGGAATTTTTGGTTAAAGTGGGTCAAACTCCAAGGTCACGAAATCAAAGGTGATGCCAAAAAGAAAGGTCATATCACATGGAGTACATCTGTGAAATATGAAAGCCATAGTCCCTCCCACTCAAAAGTTTTAGACAAAGTTACAGGTTTTGCTTTTCGGTCACACAGAATAACAGACAGGAAATAAAACAAGTAGAGCTTTTTAAAAAAGCTTCCCGTCTTTAGCAACAATCTTAAACTGTAAACTGATCTACACCTATCAGGCCGTATAATTCTTTTGAATTTCTTAATTTTGTATTTCTACATTAGCTTTTTACTGGCATTAGCCCTACCACGGTTGTCGCTCGGTCATCTCCGTAAACTTTGACTCGCCGAGAGCTTTCGGCAAACCTGGCTGATTCCATTTCCTTCTTCAAACAAGAAAAGGGAAAAGAATAATAACAAATTGCAAAGCCTGCAAGCAATAAAAATCAAATTTTATTTATAATGAAGTTAAAGAGATCTTTTTATTTTTTGCTATACAAAAAATCATGTTATTAGGAATTAATTACTGCTGATTTTGTTGTTCGTTTTGTCATTTTTTTTTAAGATTGAAAATCTTGCAAACTTGTTAAGTCGTACGAAAATTAGATCATCAGAAAGTTATCTCCCTTGCCTTGAACAGCATTTCAACCAATGAAATAATTGAAAATTTTCTCATCATGCATTTTCTACCAATCACAAAAGAGAGGAAGTGCATAGTCCGAAGACTGTAAAAAACTTCAACTATACAATACCGTCTTCCAAGGAAGACGGTAATTAAAACCCTTGAATCTTCGATTACGGGGGCATAAAAAAAACTTCATTCTGTAATGACATCGTATCAAATATTTTCCTTTATTTGCTGAAAATTTCGGTAAAATCATCTTCACTTGCCACGGGTTTCTGATACGCTACTCTCCTCATATAAGCCCTTAGCATACGGCGCACAGGCACTTGTATCGTATGCGGGGCACCATTACTTATTTTTACCACTTGTTTCGTATACGGGGTACCACTACTTATTTTTGGCACTTGTTTCGTATACAAGGGATGCCCTGTATATGAAACAAGTGCCTGTGTTAAAAATGCATAACATTGTGATATTTTTGACTTAATACGTTGTATTTCCATTAGTGAACTCTTCAGAAATAGAGGCGCGTTTGGTCGTCTGACTGGGACAGCATGGCATTGTGGATAATGCAAAACATGCCAGCTGCAGTATCAATCCAATTTTAAATGTTAAGTGCATTTGTTGTTCTAACTAAAGAATAGATTAACTAAAAGACATATGAAAAAGAGCGAAAACCCTAACTTTATCGTCCATTATTAAAAACACGACATTTCCGAGGTATGTGTATTGACTTTAAATGTACCATTACGATAAATAGATACATACGATCACCAAAAGATGTAAATTAATATCCTCGTCATCTCTACTCTTGATTTAAATAAAGTCCACAACAATAAAATATTTCATATGCACTTTGTTAGGATTTGTTCATCGACATTCAACGTGTTGTTCACATGTTTATGTTTCGTTTGTCCCAGAAATCTCGCGAGATTTGTACATTCTCCGACTTTTTCACAAAAGAGCGCACTAAGAATTATAACTCTTCCATAGTGGAAATAGAACGTATTGCTAACAAGTATTCATTTAAATTAATTAATATCACTATGTAAGGTGAATATATTATTCACAGTTTGGTATATCACTCTGCAGCTTAAATTGTCTTTCCCTGTTTTTGGACGTCCAAATCCTAACTCTGCAATCATCTGCTACGCTAATTAAGACTTCCGGGTCATGTGGATGAAAGGCAACAGCACCCACTCCATTTTTCGCATCCGGAAGTGTATGAGGTAATGTAGCGATCACGTGTTTCGAATGACGATCCCAAAGAAAAGCAACATCTTGTTCAGATCCGCTTTATGAACAAAAGAAACAAATAAAAAAAAAAACATTGTAGTTCGGAAATAAGAAAGCGTAATTTTTAAAGATTGTTTAAAGATAAACATTAATGATAAATACCTTGCAAGGAAATCAGAAGAAATGCTAGGGAAAAGGTAAAATAGTTTAGCTGACTTTTCTAAAGATTTGTTTCCTTCAAACACCTCCGGTTTTTCTCCAATGTTTGCTAAATTGATCACCATTGTGTCGACATCTTGTTCGTACCAGCCGTCTACACAAATCCTTCTTGAGTTGTACACTGCATACCTGTGGAATAACAAGTAGTATTTTTAGTAATTTTGTAATAAATCAAACATGAAAAATCACATAGTCAGAACAACCCCACCCCCGTCAAATTGAATGATTGTCTGCCGTTCCTTACCGGTGATCCGCTGAGAGATTGACTCCCACACACTCGCTGTTGATCATTATTATTTTGATCGGTTCTGTAACACTGGGGGTCTCCGAGTATATGTCCACTTTATAGAACACCAGTCTGTGCACGATGTCCCACTCCAGACTCTGCTGGTAGATAATCACCACTCTCTCCCCTGGAAGAGAAGACGCCATGCGTTCGATTGGAGAATCTCGGTTCCATTTGGACCACTCAATGACCTTCACTAAATGGGGTCGATACCCATCGTTTATCATTTCTAATAGACTCCATAATTCCACATTGTCATCCGTTAGATTTTCCACAAGAGGACGCTTATAAAGTTCCGGGTTTTCTAATTCTTCCTCATAGAACTGATTGAATGGAAGAGACCGAAAGTCAATTTGAGCGTAAAAAAGAATCAGTAAGTACACACGTACCTGTATTAAATGCTACTCACCTTACAACTGACTAACTTCACATTATCATTGGAGAAAAAGTATGTCGACACATCGGCTAAAAGGAAAGTGTCGCTAGTGAGCCAAGTTCCTCTAAAATAAGAGAACCACGAATGCCTCGCCGCCACCACTGCAAGCCCTAAACAGATAAAATCAAATCCTAACTGTCATACCACATATAAATGTACAGGTGTACAGGACATGTTCTGTTAAAATCTACAAGTAGGGGAACCAAGAATGACCTTTTTCAATGGCGAGCACGGCCAGTGCGGCTTGTGATTCCTCCTCCGAATCCTCTCTCATCATACAGTTCATGATTAGATGCGTTTCAGCTTCATTGAACTCCACGTAGTTGGCATACGACGGCGTATCCACTACTTGACGGGAGTGTAAAAGCGCCGTGGTGTGACCATATTTCCATACCTTTGTATATAACAAGAAATCATTATAAATCATTTTCAATCATTTTAAAAATATCGATAAAATTAAATGTAACGTCGAAAATTTTACCCCCCGGAAAACTATTTTGCAGTCTACGTTGACAATGCATGGTTTTTGAGGGGTCGGAAAATTTCAAATACCCCTCAACTGCATGCAATATTTGCATAGGCGTCGGAACCGGGGGACCAGGAGGGCTTAGTTTCCCACTTCTTTTGCAAAGATAGACATAATACAGAAATTGAAACATTTGGATGTAGGTTTACCCCCTCTCTCCCCCCCCCCACACACACACTTTAAACAGGCACGTTGCACTGTAGGTCGAAAAAGGATAAGTGGTATTGTATGGGGGGAAATGGTGCTGAAAAAAGTTCAACCCCCACCCTCCCTCAGCGAAAGAGTATATTTGTGTTTTGACAGTGGACACATTTTCCTTTTATTAATTATTCATTTTTTTTTCCTTGTCAAGTTTTTTTTTCTAATAGGTTTGAAATTTTTCACTCTTTCAATTAGCCCCCCCCCCCCAACCTCCACTTTTAATTTTCTCCCGACACCAATGATTTGTGTATTACTATAGTGCTTAGTATGTTATACTGAATAATATAACACATGGCTTTATCATTTAACATAGGCGTCGGATCCCCCCCCCCCATTTTTTGGCAAATATATACGTAATATAGGCGTTGAAAATTGAGGTTTACCTTTTTTGGTTGGTTTAGCCTTTCAAGTAGGCTCCCCCCTTTCAATTTGCTTCCAAGGCCTGTATTTTAGGGGTAGGTACTAATAATGCTACTTTTGAGAAATATTTCTCGAAGAATCGGATTCTAATTATTCACATAACAGTCACATGACTAGAATACTCATCAGGTCATATGCCAAAGAAGTATAGCTTTCTCTAGACCTGTTTGGCTCACCTTCACAATACCGTCTGCTCCACAGGTAGCTATCAATTTCCCGCTGTTAGAAAAGCAGACGTAGTAGATTTCATCCAGGTGACCCTCACACGTTTGATGAAGATGGATGGGGGCATGGTAAGTCAGCCGCTTCAATTCCGATTTCCAGCTGACGTCATGTCGAGGGTAACGACATCCTAAATTCCTGTACGTTAATTCTTTCCATAAGCTTTCATCCTGGGCTATTCGATACCATTTCTACCAAAAGAAAACTTTTAATGGCATTTGGTGTATCCTACAAAAGCCTATTGGATAAATCTATGCAGGAAAAAAAATCAAAAGGCGTTATGGCGTTGTAATGTAATAAACGCAAAAAAACGCGTTTGAAATTCACTACGATAGAGTATTCTTTTTTATGCTTTAGTTATTTATAAGTTACCACCTTTAAAAACAAGAGGCCCATGGGCCACATCGCTCACCTGAGTACATTTGGTAATGTATTTTACCAGATTCCGCCCTTGTAATCCCTATTGTGGCCTCGTCCTACCCCCCGCCCCCACGATGGGGGTCAGAATTTTAACAATTTAGAATCTACACTACCCTAGGATGATTTCACATAAGTGTCAGCTTTTCTGGCCCCGTGGTTCTTGAGAAGAAGACTTTTAAAAGTTTTTTTTAAAAATATATTTCTATATAAAGTTGTATTCCCTATTATGGCCCCGCCTTACGCCCGGGGGTCACAATTTTTTTGAAATTTAGAATCTACATTACCCCAGGATGCTTTCACATAAGCTTTTCTGGTCCCGTGGTTCTTGAGAAGATTTTAAAAGTTTTTTTTTTCAAATATATTTCTATGTAAAAGTTGGATTCCCTATTGTGGCCCCGCCTTACCCCCGGGGGTCACAAATTTTACAATTTAAAATTAACATTACCCCAGGATGCTTTCACATAAGTTTCAGCTTTTCTGACCCAGTGGTTCTTGAGAAGAAGATTTTAAAAGTTTTTTCCAGTTATACATTTCTATGTAACAGTTGGATTCCATATTGTGGCCTCGCCCTACCCCCCGGGTTCAAAATTTTTGAATTTAGAATCTACACTACCCCAAGATGCTTCCACATACGTTTCAGCTTTTTGGTTCTTGAGAAGATTTTTTAATGATCCCACCCTATTTTTTTCTTTTCTTGATTACAATGTATCTCCCCTTGTGAGGGGTCTATGCCTTTGATTTTAATAATTCAAACTCCTCTTTACTTAAGGATGCTTTGAAAAGTACCAAGTTTGGTTAAAATTGGCTTGACACTTAAACTTGAGAAGAAGTTAAAAATGTAAATAGTTAACGGACGGACGGAGAGACAGCTAAACGGGCGACGGACAAAATGTGATCAGAAAAGCTCACTTGAGCCTTCGGCTCAGGTGAGCTTACTAGGCCTGCACCGATACGGTATCATTGCTCAAGACGTTGATCACTTATTTAGTCATTTAAGGACAGATGATACAAACAAATTTTTTCTTTGAAAAAGATTAAATATCATGTCACAAGTTTAGAAAAGTGGATGGTTCTTAGATTTTTTTCTCCGAAGAACTTGAATGTGAAAAAGACTTGGTAAATATTAGTAATATTTCAATGAAAACACAAATATAGACAAATCACATTCAGTAAAGGTTTACAGGTGAAAAATTATAGAATATGTTTTCATGGCGCTAAAAGTGTAAAATAAACTTATGAAAAATATACCAAGCCAGGTGAAATTTATTAGGAAAAGCTAAATAGTTAAAATCAGCCTATGTGATATTGCCAGTTTTTTGTAATTTCGATCTTCCTCTTAAAATTCACCTGGCTTGGTATATTTTTCTAAGGTTTATATTACACTTTTAGCGCCAGGATCCCAGATAGCAGGATGTTATTGGACCTTTGTTGGGCCAACAACGCTCCTTATGTTGGGCCACTGTTTGAATTCAACATTGGGCCATCGGTAATTTGCTCATCGGCCCTTAATCAAACCAACTTGTTGGCTTAATGTTGGGCCAATGTAACAGTTAACATTGGGCCATTGTTGGGCCAATGTATTATTTCAATATTGGGCAAACGTCATTTTTGTACAATTGGGCCATTGTAAGCAACTAATGTTGGGCCAACGGTAATTTGCTCATCGGCCCTTAATCAACCCAACTTGTTGGCTTATCGTTTGGCCAATGTAACAGTTAATATTGGGCCACTGTTGGGCCAATGTATTTTTTCAATGTTGGGTAAACGTCATTTTTGTACAGTTGGGCCATTGTAAGCAATTAATGTTGGGCCAACGGTAATTTGCTCATCGGCCCTTAATCAGACCAACTTGTTGGCTTATTGTTGGACCAACGAACGGATATCATTGAGCCATTGTTGGGCCACTTATTCTCTCAATATTAGGAAAACATCATTTTTGGGCCAACGTTGGTTTGTATCTTATTGGCTCTCCATCATGACAACTCATTTGCTCTTCACTGGTTGGCCATTTGTCCTCAAAATTGACAAACAAATATATACAATAAGGTTATACTAGTTTTGTAGTACAGTTTAATGGTAAAAGCCCTTTAATACTATCTTGTATGCTATATATGCTAGATTGATAGTGTAATACATATTCTCAATATCTCATAGAATTGTCATCAACAAGTATTGCATTGTAAGTAGCTCTACATTAATTAAATAGCTGAGGAAAAAGAAATCAAAATATAAAATTAAGTTATAACATACTATAATTTTATTGCTCAGTGCATGAAGAAAACATTAATAAAGAATTAAAAGTCGATGCTCACTTCAAGCGATACATGTAGGGTTACATGACAGTATACTCCCTCTCTGATGTAAATTATGCACAAGTTCAGTAAATTACAGGTATCAATAAGCACGTCTAAGAAATAAACAAAGCCCTCCTGTTCTTAAAATAATACTAAAATGAATCCCGTCATTTTGTTTACTTACACAAAAAATGTTTCTGGCATCTGCATCGTGTTTATAACCGACAAACAGACACAAAAAAGGGTAGAACTACAGGTTTGTCACACTATATTACAGAAAAAAAGTTAGGCACTGCCACTTTCCATCTGATCCCTCTCCTAAGTCTCCATTTCCTCTTCCCGAGTCTCCTCCTCCCCCTTCTTTTCTTCTCTGTCCGTTTCTTCCTCCCCCATTCCTGTCCTTGGCATACCTTAGCCATTCTTTGATTGTGTTCTCCATGTCTTTTTAGAATCTCCAGTAACACTAAAATTGTAATATTTGGTACTTAATACATTTGTTACTTTTCTCAGTAAAGAGTAAACATACGATTAAATTTACAAGTATATCACTATATGTTTAAGCTGTCAATTAAGGAACAACCGTCTTTTTTGTTTCATGGTGTGATTTAGTGATTAGCTTGCGTTATGAAGGCATTTATGAATGATATTTATACGCTTGATAATCATCATCACAACAATTTTGATTCAGTGTTGCCCCATATAAAATACATGTATTGAAAATTTGTCGTTACAATGAACAAATTTTAAATGAAAGAACCCAATTTATTTTTAGTACTGAACAAATTTTGTTTTAACTTCAGCAAGTTCATCATTTTAAAAATGTTTGATCATGTACTCGACGTTAAGTGTATATAAGTAAATTAACTTAGACTTCGGAAATGTATTCTACTATAGACACAAAAGGAGCAAATTATTTATTGTTTTAACTGTATCAAAACACATTTTTATACTTTCATTTATTTTTCTTGTATAGAAACAAAAAATTTAATCACTGATAATTTATTTTGTTTTGATAAATTATAAGAATTTTAAATTTATTTTAGCTAGCTTGATTTTTCAAGAAGGATTGGTTGTAGATTTATTTCTGATTGTAGATTCTGATTTCTGATTGTAGAGACGATCAGATTTGTTAATATACAGATTTGTAAAAATTAAATGTTTATACACATTGGCCCAATGTTGGTCCAATATATCGGGCTAACATTGGGCAAAGGAGCAAAATGACACTGGGCTAACGTCATTTGCCAACATCGGCCCAATGTTCTTGTTGACGTTTCGCCAACAATGTCGCATTCATTGGGCCAATGTTGGCGCAACGTTAGGCCAATATCTGTAGAAATAACACTCTACATTGGGCCAACGTTGACCCAACATATCGGGCCAACATTGGGCCGATGAGCAAACTTAAATTGGGTCAATGCCATTTTCCAACATTGGCCCGATGTAACCGATTACATTGGCCCAACGTTGGCCCAATGTTAGCATGCTATCTGTACAGTGTTGACCCAACAGCACCTGGCCTCTGCACTTCCCCGTGTCTGATTTACACAGATCTGTATATGATATCGTTTAAAAACTAAACGTTAATTCAGCTATGCCGAGGCAAACATATTATTAATACTTACAAAGTGGATGCAGATATGCAAGGTATCAGTCTCATTACGCTCGCTCGTGTCAGATTAAAAATGGCGCGGATATTACAAGTAGCCCGGTTGTTGTCTACCCATGATCCTCAGTCAGATTCATGGTATATTGGACCAACGTAGGGCCGATGCCAATCCCCAAACAAATATTTTCTCTCATGATTATAGTTTTATGATATAATGCCAACACATAGTCCAACATTAGCGCACTATTATACATAACCAGCTATCAATATTCCATGTTGGGCCATTGTTGGCCCAATCAAGGTAACTCAACATAGATAATAGAACCATAATGTAAGATTGGGCCAACGGTGTTCCGCTATCTGGGTTATTACAAATAAATAAGCATATACACAATTCAAAAAATAGAATAAAACACTCTTTGGTGCTTGATCACTTAAGTGCAAAGTTAAAATGTTGAAAATATCATATCTAAACAAAAGCAGTCAACCAATGATAAGCATAGACATAGAAAGTCCTTTTAATTATTTCAGAATGTGCCAACCTTGTCCCAACCTAAAGCTCAGCAGCTAATTATAAAATTAACACCATCAATTAGTTGGAAGTATAATAATTGGGCCAACGTTGGCCCAATATAAATATCCCATCTTTGAAAGACCTAAACAAAATAACACTTGTGTGTATTACAAACATTGTGCCAACGTTGGGCCAACATACTACTACCAACTTGATAGGACACGTTCTTTAAGGGTGTATTACAAGCAATTGGCCAACGTTGGGCCTACATACTACTACCAACATAATAAGGCACTTTCTTTAAGGATGTATTACAAACATTGTGCCAACGTTGGGCCAACATACTACTACCAACTTGATAGGACACGTTCTTTAAGGGTGTATTACAAACAATGGTCCAACGTTGGGCCAACATAATACTACCAACTTGATAAGGCACTTTCTTTAAGGATGTATTACAAACATTGTGCCAACGTTGGGCCAACATACTACTACAAACTTGATAAGGCACTTTCTTTAAGGGTGTATTACAAACAATGGGCCAAAGTTGGGCCAACATACTACTACCAACTTGTAAATACACTTTCTTTAAGGGTGTATTATAAACATTGGTCCAACGTTGGGCCAACGCCATTATCCTTCCTTATTTGGAAACTAAAGTGAATGGAAGTTGCTTACGTTGGACCAAGGTTGGGCCAACATAGGAATTCCGTCATGGCCGAGAAGGTTGGCTTGGTAACATTGGTCCAACGTTGGCCCAACGTTGTTCCCCCAACGCCAACCATACAACCTTTAACAAATGTTGGCCCAACATAGTCATGCTATATCTGGGATAACATATTCTGAAATTTATTTTTACCTATAAACCTTTACTGAATGTGATTTCTTTATATTCGTTTTTTCATTGAAATATTACTAATATTTCCCAAGTCTTTTTCATATTCTAGTTCTTAGGAGAAAAAATTCTAAGAACCATCCACATTTCTAAACTTGTGACATGATATAAAATCTTTTTCAAAGAAAACATTTGTTTGTATCATCTGTCCTTAAAGATATTGGCGTTGTGTGACAGTCAGGAAAATTGCAGACAGGCGAATCATAGAAAACGATATACCTTGCACGTTCTACACACGCTGTTTAACTCATGTTTGTCCAGATAAGAGAAGATATGTAGTAGAACTGGATCTGTCAGATGTTGCCAATCATTCCTGTCCGTACTGTCGATCTAAGGGAGGTAACTCTATAATTACTGACACCACTAGTACATAAACAACACAAAAGAACCCGTATCTCACTAAATTACAGTCTTCTAATGTATCTAAATGAACAACTCACCCTCTGACTATATTCAGATATAGTTTTATGTTTCTTTTTTTCCATCAATTAAAAGAAAATATCTTAATATTTAATCGTTCGCTTCCTCGTATCCAGTGACGCACCCGGATCAAAACAATTATCTATTTTTAGATTTACGCACGGATCCAAAAATCCAGATTTAAAATACATTTTACTCGGCAGATATCACCAGGTTAGTGCTCTGGAACTGAATACGTAAGTTAGTGCTCTGGAACTGAATACGTTTACAAATAAATTTAAACGGTAACTGGTGTGAACCACTCAAGTCACACTGAACTTTTATAATATTATTATAAAAGTTCAGTGTGACTTGAGTGGTTCACACTAGTAAATGAATTGATTTATCCATACCCCCCCCCCCCCCCCTATGAAAACAGTGAGTTACACTTTGATAATAATTCAATGACTATATCTATTCAGGCAAACGTGTATCGCTCTAATTTTTCGGATAATAAAATAAGTATGGAATAATTAAGGTAGGTCCTACATGTACATTAATATTTAGCACTTAGTTTTCTTGGTTAATGCAATGTTGTTCAGTGTTTTTTAAATCTTTCGAATCTTGGATATTTCTTTTCTTTTCTTTTTTTTACCAGAATCTCCTTCCAACGTAAATCCCCTTCTTTCATCTCACGAACATAATCAACAAGATGTGTTTGTGAAACACTGTGCGCCCGGCGGCAACAAAGTTTGAAAAAACTATTTTTAATCAAGCAGGTCCCAGTCAATGTCACAAGATAATTGACCTTGGTGTCATTTGAAAGAACTTAATTAGTGAAGTAGGCATACCAAATATAATATCACTATCTTTATCTTAATGGTTCAAAAGTTATGGCGAAAGTTCGAAAAAGCTATTTTTAGCATATAAACCACAGTCAAGGTCACAGGGTCATTGACCCTGGTGTCATTTGAACTGTCCGCTTTTCCAAGGCGATGGAGTCAATATGTAATTAATGCAAATCACCCATATCCCCCAAACGCCAGCAAGACAATTTATGGCAAAAGACTTCAAGGGGTGGATCTTTTGTTTTCAGCTTTCTTAGTTAAAGAAAAATAAACTTCTACCCCAGGAAGTAGTCCCCCATGCCCTGAAAAAAAGTTCCTGTTAAAACCCTTTATTCATTTACAAAAAATTACAATTGCTTAATGAAGTTCATTTTCATTGAACAATTACCGGTAAGATATATTAATGGCAAAGGAGTACTAAATAAATTATTTTTCCCATAGAACTCTGTACAATCCCTATAATTTTAGCTGCAGATCTGTGGCGTTATTGTTTTATATATTTGACTTTGACCATAACGCTACAGATCCCGTAATGCAAAAAAGGTGCAATTTACGGGGCAACATTTTTTTGCGCACTTTGGGGAGAATTTCTCCACTTTCTAGCATTGGTCAATCAACTATCTTTCACTCCCTAATTCTAGACACATTCTGTAGCCAATATGTATATTTTATCCACCTCCCAACCATTTATACTTGTCTCTACAGGCAATAAACTCACTTGAAGTGAATTTTCAGCAATCTAACAAATAATTTTGATCAAGCGAGTTTATCACTTGTATAGACGACTTATAAAGGGTTGGGAGATGGATAAAATATACAGATTAGTTTAAAAATGTGCCTAGAATTAGGGAGTGAAAGGTAGTTAATTGACCGATGCTGAAAATGGAGAAATTCTTCCCAAAAGTGCGCAAAAAATATTGCGCCGTAAATTGCACCTTTTTTGCATTATGGGATCTGCTGCGTTATGGTCAGACAAATATACAAAACCATTACGCTACAGATCTGCAGCTATAATTTGACCTGTCAGTACTATACTAATTTAATTTCAAACAAATCCTAGGCATTATATGAAACTTTATTCTAAGCACTTATTTAAAAAAGCCCAGGAAAAAAATATTGGGTCCCATGGTGTTTACAGGTCAAAATCATAGTTTAAAACGTTTAGCGATCGCCAGTAAATGACATGACACTGCCAAAATACCAATCCCCAGTCCTACAATCTCTCCTGATATTTCTATATTTTCTATCCCATCAGATAGATAACGTCTACCCATTTAGTACCTTCGGTTCAGGTGAGCTAAAAATGACTTTAAACGAGTATTCTTGTTTCATCAACTTTGGACCAGTACATAGTGATCGTGTATATACTACTTCTGAATTATTGAGCAAGACAAACAAAGACTTCTCAAAACATTACAGATCTATCAGATCAGATGTAAAATATATGGAGATGACCCACAGTATTCAAGATTAAAAGTCCATAAAACAATACAAAATAGGAGCAGAGCAAACAGTTCATAATGATCGTGTATTCCACTTCTGGGCTTATTGAATAATTATACAATAACCTTTTTGAGCTTCATTACTGTTTGTTACTTCTATATTTCATTTTTTTAAATTTGAGAAAAAGTCTTGCTACATCTTTCAATGCATTTGTGTTTTAAGGTCAGACGATACGTTCCCCAAATATCTGTTTTGTAAATCTTCATAATGTATGATAAATATATTTCTTTCTGTTTTTTTAAAGCGGTTTTTAATTGTTTTTAAAAACTTGAAACACGAAAAATGTGACAATGGCAAACTAATTTTAAAATATCCTTTAAATTTCGAAATAAGTGACACTTTCTTTTATCATATTGCAATATACCCTTTAAGTTTTCACCTGTATAAGGTCGATCCGACACGTAAATATTTGCACTACGTATGAACAGTTTCTAAAACGAGGCATTGAAGTTATTAACAATTAAACACGTTTTAAAATGGAACAAACTAAGACTATCAACAGACTAGTTTAAAGTCAATATTTTTGGGGCTCTATGATCGATACAATGGCCTTGTTAGCAAACACTATCTATCTTATAAATTCGAATGCCGACTGACTTTTCCTGCAGTATGTTAAGCAATCATTTAGACTCTGAATTGTCATAGTTATTTTCCCGTTGTCCGATCATGATAAGAAGCGCACGGCAGGTGTGACCGGTCGACAGGGATTGCTTGCTCCTACATGGCACCTAACCCCTATCGAGGTGTTTGCAAATACCGACAGTAACCCTCCTAAGTAATACAAAAAAACCTCCCATCAGATAGTGTTTTATGGAAGCTATAAATAGAAATGAAAATGCTTAAGGAATCACTGTCTAGTTAGCATGGTATGCCCGTTATGCATAAATTATCTCATGTTTCCCACTATTGTTGATGTCCCTGGCGTACTATGCTAACTAGACAGTGATTCCTTATATTTCCATTTCATCGTGAAATAGAATTGTAGATTTAGACTTTAAAAATGCAGACATAGATTTAAATTACACGAGGATTCCCATCCCAATTTCAATAGTCCTCGCCCACTGACGTCAAACACAACGGCAGCCGCACGAGATTTTCATGCATATTTGGCCTCTTTAGCGTCAGACTCAGAGACAGATGCGCACGAGATTTGCATGCATATTAGGCCTCCTTGGCTCCTGACCTATTGACCTGCCTAATTTACATTCCGGTAGAATTATCAAGAAATTAACTCCGCTAACTTTCAAAGAGTTATCACAGAGAGAAAAATTAGAAATGGAAATATTTAAGTCTATCAATAGTGTTATCCCTCCAGAAACTTAATTTTCGCGTAATTACGCGAGACAGTCTGCTTGCAATTCATTCTTTGTCACCGTCTTTTTTTTAAAAGATTGTATTGGGCAATAACCAAAATGTGTGCAAAAATAAAGAATTAAGATGTACAAGTCAGGGTGCCTGCTATTTTATCCCAAGGAAAATGTTTAACGACAAGCATTAGTGAAAAGAATACGCTGTTGTTTACTCATGAACAAATTGGGGAAAATTATACACATATTATTTTTTTAATGGTCTTAAGGACATATGATACAAACTTTTGTCAAAGAATTTGAAAATAACAACTTGGGTCATGTTTAAATGAGTAAAATGAATAATTTTCACCGCGTACTTTTTAATTCAAATTTGCACAAAAATGGAATTTGAAATTTGAAGTGAAAAATATTTGTATAGATTAATTAATAAGCATGGTTTCAGAAGGGCAGACTTTTGAACATCACAGAAGGTTTACAATTTCTTTATATCCTAGAAATTTATTATTTGCCTCATTTGCAATTGAATTATGCCAAAATATATATACCAATTCAGGCATCCATTTTTTGTTTGTATCATCCGTCCTTAAATAGTAATTTTTTTTAGAAAACTTTACTTCAAATTGTGTCATTTATTGTAGATTTCTTGTTTTTGCCATTTTACATCAAAAGACAAATACTTCAAACTGCATAACTTCCATAACAGATTTTAAAGCTTTCTTCAGTCAAAATTGAAATAATTAAATACTAATTCATAGGTCTGCATTATGATTTATTGAGATCCGTGTATTTACACTTTTTTGCATAAATATGTTACCATATAAGCCAACAATCAATCATAACACTGTATCATTCACCAACAATAATGCTAATAACAAAAAAAAAAACATGAAATCTGTCATCCATTGTCCCAGGATCCTTGTAACAAAAGCAAACAACTATGTCCATTTTCCATCCTGCCATGGTCATAGCTGATCATTATTAAAAAAATTAAAACTCAATAAAAATAATAAATTCTACCAAGGAATTGATCTACATTTCATTTTAATGCTATTTGATAGACTTTATATATTGGCAAATAAATTACTAATACTTATAAAACCCTGAATGCTGTTTCTTGTGGGATTATACCCAATATAATATACAATATATCTTACATATATACATAAATATATGGATATACAATATGTCAATGTAATCAAAGACACTGTACATTACAAATGACAGATCATATAAATATAGTATGTTATTAGAATCTCATGGTTTTGGAATCGTAAAACAAATGGGGAAATCATACAATGTTAGAGACTGGACAATATTGCTCAATAGTCACCAAACCAATGGAAACTTCAACAACATAACAGTTAACATATTTCTTGGTGGGTTCAAAAAAAGGGGGAAACATAAATGTAATGCTCTGTAAAATACAGATATATCAAGACAAAGCAAATAAAAAAAAATAACAAAAAAAAAGGCAACCAAAAAAATCACTCAGTGCTTATGCCAGAAATAATTAAGGCTTGTTTATACAAAGGCCTATATACATAGTATATAAAATTTACACCATCCTAACATAGTATTGTTAAAACTATGCCTCTATTAGGAGCAACAAGAATTTGATCTATTTGCAATGCTGTAATACAAAAGGCTGTAATATTTGGCACACCTAGTAGTACATGAACACCTCGAAGAACTGGAAAAATGGAGGACACAAAATTAAAAAAAAGAAATGAACATAAATCTGACATACACATATATCAGAAGGTATGAATGAATCTTAATAGCAGGTTCAGTTTCTGGGTTTTTTCCCTGGAATGTAAAAATAACCAAAGAATGAAAAACTATCTACATGGAAACTCTAATATTCTATGTCATTCCTACATTTATAGTTTGGAGTAAGCCATAGCAATCTACGTTTATATACATTTACATGAAGTGTGTCTGTAATACTAAAGATAAACAATTTGAATTGTAACAGTACATGAAAGATCTATAATATAAATAAATATTTAGCTACATTCAACGATGGAAATCAATTACTTTTATATCATGTTCACATTTAAACAAAAAATAAATATATTTACTAACACAATTTTTTTAACAAAAAAATAAATATATTATCTTTTAATGCTGCATTGTGAATTATAATAAGAAAACTTATAACATGATTAATGCAAATGAAATACAAATTTTACATGAAATTAATAAAAATGTCTTATATTAATACAATATCACAGTTTGAATTTTGTTAAATGGTAACTATATGCATTTATTATGTCCATTAATCTCCAACAAGCTCAGATTCATATCGGCTAGGGGCACACCACAAGATAAGCTGAATGAATTTGGTCACAGTATCTGTAAAAGTAAAATGTTTTCAAATTAATTCAACATTAAATATTTTCACATAAATAAATCTTGAAGCCAAATGACCCTCTGAGAAGATCGAGGGATAATTCTTACTGGAATTAATTTTAAAAATTTACAAGACAACTTCTTTGATTTTTTCAGTGCAGGTTGCTAAAATTGTTTGCAGTTCAATTATAACTGAGATTTCTTTAGAAAGCGATCATCAATAATAAAACTGTTGCAAAATTTTGTATAAAGGTACAAGGAGATGGCAAAAACTGAAGTAATATAATTTGTATCAAAACAGAAACAGATTTAATACAGTCATATTTATGCTAAGATAATAGCCAACACATGTATATCGTAAAAGTACAAGTAATTTGTATCAAAGCAGTAACAGATTTAATACAGTCAGATTCATACTACGATAATAGCCAAGACACATTGTATAGAAAGATCTCTTCTACTAAGCAATAAACGACCAATATTTTAGAATTTAAGATTTTCATAAAAATTAAATGCCCACCTGTGTAAGGAAGTGACTTCTTCATCACCACAAACGGAACATAGAAGATCAAACCACTAATGACGAAGATGAATGCATACAGGAACTCGATTCTGGGGTCATTGACAATGGGGGCTATCACAAGATATATAGACACACAGAGAACTGTGATTGGCAAAATGATAGGCACCTGCAAAATCACAAAACTGATAACTGCATCATATCGTAGGGGTGAGCAGAACTAAATATTAGCATACCAATGTCTGCCATACATTGTTTCTTAAACACAGAAGTTCGTCATCCTAAACAATTGCAAAAATTTAGCACCTAAGGCAATAGTTTTGTCAAAAACTTGCATTAAATTTTTTGAAGAACTTTGTGGTTTTATAGCAAAAATCCAGTATACAGTGTAGTAATTAACATGGCTATATTTGTCTTCGGTTATCATTTATAATTTTTTTTATTCAAAAAAGAAACAAGAGGCCCAAGGGCCTTGAATCGCTCCTCTGATAAATTGTACAACCTATCACTTGTATTTGAAACCTCTAACCCTAAGTATCCTAAAACCTAAGTTGCATCAACTGATAAAAAGTTTGATGATTCTTAGCCAATTAGGACTGAAGATATTTTAATAAAGCTATAAAAAAAAAAACCATGAGTAGGTCACGGTGACCTACTTTAAGATTGAAGTTTTCTGAGGACTCAAGATGTATTAATAGACAAACTAAGATTGAAGATTGAAGATTCTAAGCCATTATGTATTTGAGATATTCAAAAGTAGGTCACCTTGACCTACTTTTTGGTCTACATTCTTGGAAAACCCAAGATGCATCAACTGACAAAGCTTGATGATTCTAAGCCAATAAATACCTGAGATATTCAAAAGTATGTCACCGTGACCTACTTTTTGGTCGACATTCTCTGAAAACCCAACAAAGTTTGATGATTCTAAGCCAATAAGTACAGAGATAGCCATAAAATGTCAAAAGTATGTCATCGTGACCTACTTTTTGGTCGACATTCTCCGAAAACCCAAGATGCATCAACTGACAAAGTTTGATGATTCTAAGCCGATAAGTACTGGAGATACATGTACTTAAATATAGCCATTAAATATCAAAAGTAGGTCATCGTGACCTACATTTTGGTTGACATTTATCAGAGGCCTAAGATGCATCTGCTGACCAAGTTTGATAATTCTAAGCCAATAAATACCTGAGATATTCAAAAGTAGGTCACTGTGACCTACTTTTTGGTCGACATTCTCTGAAAACCCAAGAGGCATAAACTAACAAAGTTTGATGATTCTAAACCGATAAGTACCAGAAATACATAAATATAGCCATTAAATGTCAAAAGTAGGTCACCGTGACCTACTTTTTGGTCGACATTCTCTGAAAACCCAAGATGCATCAACTGACAAAGTTTGATGATTCTAAGCCGATAAGTACTGGAGATACATAAATATAGCCATAAAATATCGAAAGTAGGTCACCGTGACCTAATTTTTGGTCGTCACTCTCCGAAAACCCAAGATGCATCAACTCACAAAGTTTGATGATTCTAAGCCAATAAATACTTAAGATACTGAAATATAGCCATAAAATGTGGAAAGTAGGTCACAGTGACCTACATTTTGGTCGACATTTTTCAGAGTCCCAAGATGCATCAGCTGACTAAGTTTGATGATCATTGGTCTGAAGGTAATCAAAATATGCCTTTTAAACAATTTGAAAACAAATGCCTGCAAAATTCAAAAAGTAGGTCACAGTGACCTACTTTTACCAAAATATGTTTTAAAGTCCCAAGATGCAGCAACTTACAAGATTTGATGATTCTAACCCTCTCAGTGTCTGAAATAATGGGATGAAATGTTTTAAAAAGGATAAGTCATAAAGTTCAAAAAGTAGGTCACGGTGACCTACTTTTAAGTTGACGTTGATCAAGGACCCAAGATGCATCAACTGACAAAGTTTGATGATCATAGGCCTTAAAGTGTCCTAAATATGCCTTCAAGTCAATTTGAAAACAAATGCCCGCAAAATTAAAAAAGTAGGTCACCGTGACCTACTTTTGAGTTAACATGATGTGAAGTCCTAAGATGCATCTACTTACAAGATTTGATGATCCTAGTCCTTATAGTAAGCAAAATTTAGACATTTTCATTAATTGTAAATTTAGGTCAAATTTGAAATGACCTTGAGACCACGCCCTTTGCCCCAGGGTCATGCCTTGAACAATTTTTAATCTTCAACATATCCTGATCATTGTATGTAAGTTTGGTGAAAATCTGCCTGGTGGTTCTGGAGAAGAAGATTTTTTTGCAACCAGTACTTTTGGTTTTGTTTTCCTGATTATCTCCCCTTGTTTTAGGGTTCCAACCCTTATTTTAGTATAAATGGTAGCCCTTGGGCCAAGGATACCCTGTGACAAATTTGACACTAATTGGCCAAGGGGTTCTTGAGTTATGGCCCATATTCTAAAAAGTTAACGCACACCGCACACCGCACGACGCACACCGCACAAATGGCCATAGCATTAGCTCTTTGAGCCTTTGGCTCAGAAGAGCTAAAAAGCAACATTTAATAACTAAAATGATTGCATGCAATTGTGATTTTTTATACAACCACATAATTTTTTTTCAGGCTTTATATACTGGAATTACACAATAACTATTTGTTCTCAGTATTGGCGCCTACCTTATAAGGTCTTTTGGCATCCCTCCTGGTGTACCTCAGTACCAGTAATGCTGCCATCGTACTACCATAAAACAACCAGGCTGTGAAGCTGAAGAAATCAATAAGGGCAAAGATGTCTCCCATCAGCACCATTACAGCTGCCAGGAAAGTCTGCAATTATACAGAATCATCCATATATACCAGGGGAAAATCTCCAATAAGTCTATACTAAATACAGAGCTTTAACATTTTCATTTTACGATGTTAATTTATCTACAAGTAAAATGCTTGAAGGCTTTTTTGATGAACAAACTAATATAAATGTTTGGTTTTCAAAAAATACTCATTTGCATAGTTCAATAATCAATTTTATTTTTCAAAATTTATATATAAAAGTTCTTACAGAAATCATGAGGGATGGTAAGGGAGTGAACTTCTTTATATGGACATAGGACAAGACCTTTGGTAGATGGCCCTCCCTGGCAGCTACAAATGTCAGTCTACAAAATAACAGCCAAAATTATCATCTCACTCAGCTTGAAGAAAGAATAAATCAAAATATCAGTAAGTAAATGTTAGTAAAATCTTATTACTCTGCAAGGATGAAGAAAATTAAAGTCCTAAAAATTAAATCTTATCATACTATATGAGTGTTTAATTCTTAGGGAAACAATTTTTAAAAATAAGTCTTTGATTACATATTTTAATTAATATTACCTTCCACCCGTAAAGCAGGAGCCATTGGCAGCACCAAACGTGGACATAGCCACAAATATAGGTATAAGTACTGCAGCACCACCCAGAACTCTATCCCCCCAGGTCTGCAAAATATCAGGCCATATTTACATATATTCATAAAACACTAAGTACTTCTTTTAGGCATTTCTCTCCCTTTCAAGGTATATATGGAGCAATCAAAATTTCAAGACCTATAGTATACTCATGAAAATAATATAATGCTAGCATATATGCTTTGTAACATTGCAATAAATTTTGTTTTATCAATGCATTGGCAATCATAAAATTTTGTAAACTTACAGCAGCCACAGCGGTAGAGCGGAGTAGTTCTGCCCGAGTCATTACAGTATAATAGGAGAGGTTAGTCAGGAGGTAGCATAAAGTCACCAGAGGAATCCCAATCATAATGGCCAAGGGCAGGTTCCTAAAATCACAAGACAATTACATAGTCACATCATAATGGCCAAGGGCAGGTTCCTAATATCAAAAACAGTCATATAGTCACATCAAATATAGTTAAATCATAATGGTCAACAGCAGGTTCCTGAAATCACTAGGTGTATAATAGCCACATAAATATGTTCAGATTATTATTCCCCTTATGATTTTTTAGTAGCTGTTCCAACTTGTTCCATGAATCAGGAAAAAGAGTACACTTATTGCCATGTTGATCAATGTACTATTAATGTGTTCAACTAACTTCATCTTAACTAAATTGTTTACAAGAGTTGTCTTTCTTGCACTGTCCATTTTCCACATTACCTTGTGGGATTTCTTATTTCTTCAGTGATGTAATTCAAATTGTTCCTGAAGTAAAGAGAAATGTAAATAAAACACTTGATGTAAAGAATTCAAGAATCTCTTTTAATTTTCTTAATTGTCTGATGATAAATCTTCATATTTACCAGCCATCATAAGCCCATAGTCCATCATAGAATGCTAGAGCTATCAGAGAAGGTGACTGAACAGTATCTTCAAAGCCAGTGTTAATTTCTTCTACTTCACCTAAAAGAAATGTATAAAACATGAAAGTTAATGTAAATAGAGAAGAAACATATCATTGGTAGTTATTTATCATTTATATTTAATTTCATCATTTTTCCCCAATAAATTATCAAAATTTACAAGCAAATAAAATATTTCACCTTTCCCCATGTAAACAAATCCTCCTATAGTGATGACAGCTATAGCAAGCAACTTGGCCACCGTGAAAACATTCTGAACTTTTGTTGCCAACTTTACACTATAGCAATTGACGGCTGATACAAAAACTGTATAAAAATAATACAGATTCCTATTGAATTATTTGACATCACTGTATAACAAAAAATTTCATCTATATCTATAAAAATTTTTTTTTATGTATTTCTTTGATGACTTACACAGACACACGATGGCGACGATTTTAACGAGAACATCTGGTGGCCCACACTCAAAGAATGGTTCCGTGGTGTAGAGAGCAAAACTCATAGAGACCACCCCAAACAGTGCAGGCTTTAGAATGAGGACTGATGTCCAGGCAAAGAGGAAAGCAGGAATGGCGCCCAGGGTCTTATGGAAGGGTCCAAAGGCTTCATGTAAGTAAGCATATTCTGCTCCTGACTTGGTGATTAATGTTCCAAGCTCAGCATAGGAGAGAGCACCTGAAAGATAAAATACACTCCCATGTGATTACATGGTAGAAATGATTTTACATACATATATATTTGTGTATGTAAATCTGTTTTCACCTGTGAGTATATATATGCAAAGGTGTTTTTTTCTTAAACAAATCTTTTTAGAAAATCAAACCAAAGCCTCTAGTTAGACTGAGTGCAAGAATGAATTTTGAATATTTGAGGTAAAAAAAAATGTAGATTTAAATTTTTTTTATAGACATGTGTGTAGTTTTATGACAAAGTAAATGTAATGTAACTGATAGTCTTTGATTAGCTCATTAGAATGAAATGCTAAACAAAATATTTTTTCTAAACAAAACTACTATATATTGTGTATACCAAAGTAGTCCCAAGTAAAGCAATATCTGACTGTGTTAAAATGGGAATGATAAAAAGTGCTTCAATTATCTTTTTTTGTGAATTAGAGTAAACAAAATAGGCTGTGAAACAGAACAAAATGTGGCATATTGGAAACAGAATGCTTGAGATTGAGTGATATTAGCACAGTGGGAGTATTAGGGCTGTTCCATTACCAAAGTCCGTGCGGAGGGCATCCTGGCACATGATCAAAGCTGACCTACTGCCGAAACATTCAGCTTGTCATCTCAGTCTCTCCAATATGCTAGCATATTGTTGTGTGGAGGACTAAATGACAAGCCAGCCCTAACAAGTTAACTCACTTCCTGCAAAATCCGGCTTTTTGTAATTTGTAATTTTTTTATTTTAAATTTTATGACATATGCAAGAATCCCGTCGGAATTTTTTCAGACAAGTTAATAGCCTAAATAATGAATGCTTGTTTTTACCATTATTGTGAGAAACTGTTTTGAATTCAGAAATAAAATTGAAAGATAAATTCCTCAAATTTTCAATTAATTAACTATATACAAGATTTACTAAAATTGGTGGATGTTTTACAG